TTTTTTATTGATTCAGTTCTGCTCTCCGCTAATTTTATTACGGAACACGTACGTTCTTTCTTATTATTTCATTTTTTAGTTCTTTTCTTTTGACTTCAGAAAAGCATACAAAATAGCCAGAAAATAGCATAATTTCCTGAATTGAATGATAGCTTTACTTGACGTACGTGTACCTCAGGACTGGCATACGTCTAAATCAAATATCATTCTCGTCAAGCACTGAAAGCTGTAGATTCCGTGTGTTTCTGCAGAAATCTTACAGCGATAACTGTTTTTCTATAAATTCCATTGAATCAAATTGTGTTAATTGTTTAATAAATTATCTCTCATATAGTTATATTAATTTTGTAGAAATACAACTTTGAAAGGAAAAAATTATTTTGGAAATTTAATTTGAAAAATTGAGATTAGATTAGTGTGCACACAGATTTATTATAAGTAAATGTATAAACTGGGAGTACCTGGGAAAAAGTGTGTGTATGGGAAATAGCGAAATCCATTCTTCAAATTATGCGACACAATTTTCAATTAATAATCGATGTATATCACAGAATAATTTACTTCACTTTTTTTTTCAGGCACCAAAGAACTTTGATGCAATAATATTTGTAATATTGATTGCTTGTATGCTTAATGCCCATTTTGATATTAAAAAATTTTACAACTTATTTGCATAACATTACTAAAAAATTATTGATTAAAAACCATTGAAGCAATAAAATTTGGGTCAAAACTATGAAAAGAACAAATTCAAATGTAATATAAAATTTGTCAACCATTGCTTTATCACTCATTTTGATCACAATGACACTTCTCATTGCCTCCATTTAAACAACACTCAAAATAATAGCATCTTTTCCTTTTCTCCTTAAATTTATTTCAATTATTCAAATCGTTAATTTAAGCTAATTTTTTAGCTTATAAGATAACATTTTTACTTATTCCTAATATTTTTATGTGTTCCTATAAAGCTTCTAAATGTGACAATATTATTGATGATATGATTCGAAATGTTTGACTTCTAAAGGTTGATAACACTGCTCTCTTACTCCTGTATATGTCCCATAAAAAACGTTTACCATGACGTGTCCACGTAACATATTATTTTACCATGACGTGTCCACGTAACATATTATCGGTAAAAGTTTTGTTTGACATAAAGAGATACATGACGTGATGAATTCAACTTCCGACAGCTGTTACACGCAATATCTGCGATATATCATATGAGGTGATGTTAAATGAATTTGTTTTCGTAGAACAATAAGCGCTTCCTTCCTTCGATAGAGTGTTTAGCTGAGCATTCCGAAGACATTTTAAATAATCAAATGCTTTTTCTCTCTCCCTCTCTCTCTCTCTCTTCCCCTCTCTTTTTTCTCTTTCTCACTATCACTTCATCTTTCATATGTACTGATAATAATTCTTATTTTTCCTATTAACAAATTAATAATGTTAATCACTGAATGTTTTTGCTTGATAGTTACTGAAGCGTTTTTTTTTTTTTTTCTATTTGAATTACCTAGTTTGTTCGATTTCATTTGAATTCTTTTTTGAAACATTTTTTGAAAGATGAAATAATTTCATTCAGTTATCTTTCTTCTTCTTCCTTATCTTTCTTCTTCTTCCTCACTCATTTCTTATTATCTGAAAAATAAATTCCATAAAGGAATGCTAAGCTAAAAGAAACATGTAAGAATGATTAGGAATATAGAAATAGCCTTACTTTATCATTAATCATTTATACTTTTATTATTTGAACATAATTTGAAATCTTTTTTTTTTTGTTCCTTTTTTGAATTACGCATAAAATGTTTGGAAATTTTTCAAAAAAATCAAACTTTCAAATATTTTAGCATTGAATATGGTGAAGACATCCGTTTACCTTTTGCTTTTCCTTCATCGATTATATTATAACATTGCTGAAAAAGGATTGCCAACGAATGAAAATAATAGGCCTAGAATGGATGAGACTTTTCAAAGCCTAACAACAGTAAAAAGGGCCCATCTCATTTATATTGCCTAGTTAAATGACAAATCGAGACTAGACTAGCAGAGGATTGAATGTCTCTTCTTGCTAGCCAAAAATATACACATACAAAATATTTTTACACACTTCAATGCTCGTCTCCCTTTCCTCTCTCCCTCCTTCTTCCCTCTCTCTGTCCTCTCTTTCACCGTCCAGATTTTTGCTTCATATGTCTGTTAGCTTTTCTCATTTTATTAAGATCTTTCGTTCAAATGAGGTTTTCAGGAGTACTACCATTAAGTGTAATAATCCAACATATTTAACTTGCGGTAAAAAAAAGTCACTCGTTTTTTTTTTCTCTCCCTCTCTCTCTCCTTTCTCTTTCCCATATTACTGAAATTTCATTAGAAATTTGATAGCACGAAAAATGTAAATTTTATGAGAATAACTCCCAATCAATTTTATTCCTTTTTTTTTTCGAAATTATTGTCATGTAAAGATTTATAATGTTGAAACTTTTATCAGGAAACATCATTTAGAAGTGATAAGAATTACGAGAGATGTTATTTATTACAATGATTCATATTGTACTAATATTGTAAACGAATAGATTAAATGAAAAATTACTATGTGACAGCGTTAGATCTGAAACAAATAACCGGATAACTGGATAGTGGCCGGAAACTATTCCAGAAACTGGAACAGAAATGACTATACCTCCCTCCTTCCCACTTTTTTGGCGACATATGAGCACATCCAAGTTAACCTTATTCTGTTATCATTTCAGTTGTGATTGAGAATAAGAAACGAAAGGAGTATGATAATTCGAGAGGGAACTAGTGTGTTTATAGATTGTGAAATATTATAGTATCAGAGATTGAGAAATTATGTAGAGAATAGATGTTATTCAAATGAACAGACAAGTGATGAAAAAAGAGTTGTGAGAGAACAGAGGAATGTATGGAGTGATAAAGATTGAAAGTAATGAGCAGGTAAACATTTTACCGATTGATTCAATGATAGTACAAATCTCGCGGGATTACTCCAAAAGAAGGTTAATCAAATTTTTTGTTTTTTTTTTTTTTTTAAAAACTTTACAAAAATGTATTTTCTTTTTAATTGCTGTTAATTCTTGTTTATTTATTTATTTATTTATTTATTTATTTATTATATTCCTCATAATTCCTTAATTTATTAGTTAGAGTGGCAAATTTTAAAGTTTTGTCGCAAAAACTTAATAAAAGGAAAGAAACTGAAAGGAATTGAAATTTAACTGAGAATTCATTCATTTCTTACATTTCACTGTTTCATCAAATATTTTTATTATTAAAGCTTAAATTGAGACTGAAATTATTGAGTGGCATTTAAATAAAAATTTAATTTTTAATTGAATAATAAGACGAATAATAAGTTAGATGGAAAAAATGTGACAATATGAAAAATTCATTTCCTGATAACTTTATGAGAAATTGGCAGTTTTTTTTTTTTTTTTTTAATCTCTTATTATTAGCTAAGTTATCAAATTTAAAGTTTAAACTTTATTCATATTGCCTATAGTAGAATGGTAAGCATTTCTTGCAGTATTTCTTGTAATTATAGAATTTTCCTCAAAGTTAAGTATTATTAAACTATCCGCGCCATTATTTAAATTTAAAAATATTAGAATTCGAAATTAAATTTCAATTTCTTCCTCAAAGAAATATAATTAAAACTGTACACTGTATGCTATGAGCAATGATCATCTCAAATATAATGTTGGAATAAAATTAAATGACATTAAATTATTGGTGATATTTAGAGAATAGTGTGGAAGTGACAAAGTGACACAAATGGAATTGAATAATGCTCACATTTTATTTGGATTGATTATGTTCAAAAACGAAAAAAAAAATGCTTTTATTTATTAGTGTAATAATGGATTACTGTTTATAATTTATGTACAATTCAAAATGATTTTAAAAAATGGAATTTGCAACATTTATTTCATTTAATATTTTGCTTTCAGTTTATTACAAATTTATTAAACTATACTATAATATGTAAGTTATTTAATATTTAATGGTTATGCAATTATTAAATTGTTTGATGAGTTAATTTCTTTATGAAATTTACCTATTTTTGCTTTTTGTCAGTACACGGTCGTTTTATTTTTGTCATTTATTGTTACATTATTGTTGTTATTCATAACTCATTGTTCATTTTAACAATGTTAAATGACATTTCTTTCTTTCCTATAATTAATTAAATATTTTTATGTTTAGTTACATTGGAAAATATGATGATAAAACTTAAATGTGCAAGAAAATTATTAGTCTCATTTTTAACAAACATATTTCTTTTTCAAAAACTTAGTCAAATTAATTAAAGCATTAGATCTTCTGAGACATTTTTCTGATCCAAATTTTTTCTAAAAAATGGTTTTACCGTTTGACTGTAACTATTTTATATTTAATCCAAAAAAAAAAAAAAAAAATTGAAAGTTTATTTATCTTCATCAGAGTAATATTCTGAACAATAATTTTTCAAATTTTCGAATTCGAAAATTTTCACCGCCTAGGTTTGAGATAATATATAATATAGAAATATATATTGTCTCTTATAGAAAGTTACATTAATATGAAGACCTGCTTAATGAATTAACGTACACTTTTTTCTTTTTCAATTTATAAATTTCTTACAATCGTTTAATTTGGATGCTTCTTAAATGTTTCCAATTAATCTGTGACAGTGATAACAAGAATGTGACACTGTCACACCCATTTCAGTGATAATTTCAAAAGATTTGAAGTTAGAATAATAAAAAAATATCAGAAGTAAAAATCTTTTATTTGAATTTGTGGCATACCAAAACATTAAAATAATCTTACAATCCTTTTTAACGATGTCATTCAGATGCTAATTGTAAAGTGAAGCGCATTCTGCACGGCGCTTTATGTCTCTTTTATTATACTGTTCTATTTTCATTTCAGATATGCATTTTCAGAAGTTTCACTCCTCTGTTTTTTAATTTCCGTCAAAAAATTTCATTTCCGATATGCTTCCGACGATGGCATTTTTTATTGATTCAATTCTGCTCTCCGCTAATTTTATTACGGAACACGTACGTTCTTTCTTATTATTTCATTTTTTAGTTCTTTTTCTTTTGACTTCAGGAAAGCATACAAAATAGCCAGAAAATAGCATAATTTCCTGAAGAAAGAATTGAATGATAGCTTTACTTGACGTACGTGTACCTCAGGACTGGCATACGTCTAAATCAAATATCATTCTCGTCAAGCACTGAAAGCTGTAGATTCCGTGTGTTTCTGTAGAAATCTTGCAGCGATAACTGTTTTTCTATAAATTCCATTGAATCAACTGTGTTAATTGTTTAATAAATTATCTCTCATATAGTTATATTAATTTTGTAGTAATACAACTTTGAAAGGAAAAAATTATTTTGGAAATTTAATTTGAAATGAGATTAGATTAGTGTGCACACAGATTTATTATAGGTAAATGTATAAACTGGGAGTAACCTGGGAAAAAGTTGTGTATGGGAAATGGCGAAATCCATTCTTCAAATTATGTGATACAATTTTCAATTAATAATCGATGTATATCACAGAATAATTTACTTCACTTTCAGGCATTGTTCTTTGGTGCAATAATATTTGCAATATTAATTGCTTGTAAGCTTAATGCCCATTTTGCCAAACCTGTCAGTACTGAAGATACCAGCGACAGCGAAAGTAATTTTTTAGTAATTAAACATAACTCACATCGAGTAATACATTATTAAAATGATTCTTTATAAAAAAAACGTTCCATGTTTTTTGCTTTTTTTAATTGAAATTGAATCATTTCTTTCTTTTGAACATTTAAACTATTACGCTAAAAGTTTCATTGTATATTTTTTCTATGATTTGGATTTAAAATATTTCGTTTTTATCATTTTTACTAATTTTGTTGATTTGAAGAAAAGAATTATTTAATTGGCCATTAATAATTTAACTTTTTCATCTTATCAATGGAAACTTTATGACAAATATGAGAAATGAATTTGTTAGGAATGATTTGTCTAATCTCATTTAATGCTTAGAATGGTAACCTGATGCTTATTTGATTCAAGGTATACTGCTTCGAGTAGAATGTGTTAAAAGAAAGAAAAACTAGTCAGTAATGTTTATTAATTGTTAAGGTGATCGCTGTGATGTTTCACCAATTCCTGAAAAAGAAGAAGAAAATAGCGATTTAGATCGTTCAAACAATCGAACTTCTTTGGGATTAGTGCGCTGTCGACGTTTGGAAAAAGATAGGCGAACGGTGGATTGGGTTCGAGATGCTCGAAAAATTTGTCGCAAATTAATGGTAGTGTCATCATCATTATCATCATCATTATCATCAGCAGCATCGTCATCATCATTGTCATCATCATCGCCATCATCATCATCGTCATCGTCATCATTCATCATCATCATCATCATCATCAGTGACATCATCATGATGCTTCAACCTCAGCTAAATTCCATTTCAATTCTTCTTCCCTAGATTCAGTATCGTTCATTCGTGTGTTGTGTTTCCACTTTTCATCCTCATTTTTCACCTTCCATTTTTACATGGATCATTCACGCTGCACGAGTCAATTTCGGAAGTTGCAATCAGTTCCACGTGCGTAAAGTTCGAGAATGAGACACATTTATCCTTCTCATATTTGAAAGATGAATATGAAGTCGTTATATATTAGATCTTCATTAATTGATTGAACTGTTAGGATTTTCAATGGAATATGGATTCAACATAAAGTTTCTTCGATGAATAATTTAGAAGTCATCTGAAGCAGAACTACGTTGTAACTTTTTTACGTTGATGGACAATTTAGGCCCTAGATTACCTAACATTTAAAACGCTGAAATTATGTTGGTATCATAGTTTTACATAAAATATGTATTGATAGTATTTTTTTATGAACAGTATAAGTTTTTGCAGTTTGTACAGCGGATACCGCCCGGCTGTGCGGTTCTAAGGAAATGCGCAGTGTGGTTTTGCGGTGAGCCTGTTTTTTTCTTTTTTCTTTTTTTTAAAATTTGCAATTGTTCATGGGTTCGGAGTGGTTTTTTAAAAGTTTCTCTGTTCGTAATTAACAAAGTGCGAGTGAAATCAGCGAATTGACAAAGTGCTTTATGATTGACAACGAAGGAGGAAATCAATAGTTTGTGCCCGATACTTGAAAAAGTAACAAGTAAATAATGCTTACTGTGCAAGGACTTTCTTGGAATGTACTGTAAGATTTTGAGAATTCGATTGGTCTTTGTTGAATTTAAACTCCGATTTTAATATTTTTGATCAAAAGGGCATCATAATATCTAATACTGTATTTGTTTGGATCGCTTATCTGGATATTGTTTCACCAGTAAATTTAAGTTTGATTATTTGATAATGCTGAAATAATCATAAAATGGCTTTGAGCTTAATTTCAAGAATAATCAAGGAAAACCTGCAGAATTTAAAAGAGTGCAAAGACATTACCGGGCCGGAAGGAATCTTTTGCCTACGCAATAAGTAATGATTAATAAAAGAAGTACAACTAATAAAATGCTCAAGAGTTTCAAAAAAAAAAAAAAAAAAAAATTTGCTGTTCGGTCTATTTTCCCTTCGAGAAATCTTTGGTTCTTCCCAACTATTCTTCGAAATTGCTCTTTTCCTATTTCCTTTTTTCATTATTTTTTTTTTTAAATAGAAAAAAAGAAAAAACTAATAATAAATAATTAAAATAAAATGACAAGAAAAGAAAAATTTATCTTTTTATAGTGTAATAATACAATAGAAACACTCATTTTATGTAATGCTATGTTTATATTAATTTAAAGATTAATTTAAACAATAATTTAAAAAGTTCCTCTCCTTTTTTTTTTCAGTTTCAAAAATCATATTATCTATCATTATCATCGGATAGTAGCGAACATCTTCTTTTCTCACGAAGAACACCAATAAGGCGTCGACATTCCAATGTTGGTCCATTTCAGCTTGCTCGTGCTGCCAAAGAGTTTGTTATTGTTCCATTTTCATCCTATTTGTAGATTGTAATTGAGATTATTTCTATAATTGTGTGTCCTCATCTTCCTCATTTAATTCTTATAGCTCATTATTTTTATTAAAACTTTATTATTATTATTATTTTTTAGATAATATATGGAAGAGAATTCATGTTAACCAAAGATTTTAATTGAAATTGGCAATTAAAAAAAAAAAAAAAAAAATTATGATTTTGTTCAGTAAAAATATGTTTGTTACTAATGATTAAAATTAGAAAATATATTTTTGTTTGTCAGTAATGAAATGAAATTTATGCTTTCTAACATTTTAGCTTCATTGTTCATGGTAGTAGCGCAAAATTCCAGCGACAGCTTTCGGAAATGACAAAAAGGAAATTACCTAAACCGCCATCTCAATTTTTTGAGCCCTCAGAAGTTCCAATTATTCCACAAAATGAGAAACCAGAAGTATATTATATTTTACACAATATCAAGTAAATCTTGTACTTTTTTTTTTTCATATCGAAAAGTCTATTATGAAAGAGTGCTTCCATATTTGATAATAATATTTGATAAATTTTAGTTACCAAATTATTAAAAAAAAATAAGTAAATATTATTGTACAGTAACTGTATTGATTGAAATTGAAAGCTTTGAACTAAGAGATTTCTTCATTTTTTTAATTTATTATTTGTGCATTAATAACTAAATATGTTTTTTATTTTTTCAGAATGTTAGAATTACCGTCGGAATGGTATGCACAATGGAAAGGTTTGATCGTAGAAGAATACAAGGAAAATGATTATCTGATTAGACCTGGCGATAAAGATAATCACATTGTTGTTGTCTTAGAAGGGGTCATTGCTGTCTTTATAACGGTATATTTCTAAAAACAATATTCAACTTTACAATTACAATTTGAATTATGAATTAAAATTCGTATTTTATAGCATACTGAAGGAAAAGAACTTATGGTTCGGAAAATTACAGTTGGTGATAGCTTCTTCAGTCTTCTATCAATTTTGGATGTTTTAATGGTATAATTTGTTAATCGTCCTTATACAAAAATTATGTTACATAATTTGTCTTGTTATAGTTCGAAATGACATGAAAATTTTAATGTTGCTAAATTTTTTTGCTAAAATTGATTTCAGAACCATGAAATAATTTTCCGGAATATATCAGTAAGAGCTTTGACGGAATGCCGAATTGCCAGGTATGTTTTTCTACTTACTATTATTGTCAGAGATTTTTTTCTGATAGCTATGCAGAAAATATAATAATGGAATGAAAAATATAAGAAGAATGGAAAAAGTACTAAACTCTCTGAATTAATATAATTAATATAATCGTTATTATTGCTACATATTATATTAAATTTTAATAAAATATTTCTATACAGACAATAGCAAACTTATGTAATGGTATAAAAAGGTAAAACAAATTGCTATTTGCTATTATATTTCTATTGCAGTCAACTCTTTTTTATTCGCATTCGTATATTAATTTTGTTTTTCATCTCTCACTACTAAATTAATGATTTGATTGTTGTTAATTTGTGAAATAATAAATCTCGATAATTGTTGAACTATGATGGAATTAATAAGCTGATTAATCTGTTTGAAGCAAAATTCAAAACAGTATCTTCAGAAATGGCTTTATTTAAAGAATCGATGAAGCACTTTCAACTAAAAATGAGATTGGAATGAAAACTATTAAATTCTTCTAGTTCTTTCTTTTTATACTTACTTTTATTTAAGAAAATATATTAAATAAGTCGTAACATAAAATTTGGCATCTTATTTTCTATTTGGATTTTATTTTCTGTTTTATTTACTTTGCTTTCCTGTTACAGCACAATTATACTAACTTTTATCGGAATTTGTCTCTTTTAAGGGTTTTACAAATTTCAATTTTGGAATGAATAATTTTTGATTATTCTTTAACTTTTCAGTGATCTCCTAGATATATTTTGATTTTTCATTTTTCTGTCTATCCGAAAACGAGAGATTCAAAAAATAAAATTTCTGAGTTATAAAAGCACAAGTTTCCATCCAAGATATGACTACCATCATTGTTTTTTTTTTTTTTGTAGAACTAAAAATTCAAACTTTTCGGAAGTGCATGGAAGCGCTATGTAAAACAGTGCCTGTCAATAAATTTGTTTAAATAAAGGAAAAATTCCAATGTGTCTTTTTTTTAATTTTTCGGATGAATCAGAATTGTTTGTTATAACACATAAAAATTTATTATAGATGTAGCACGAATAGTTTTCGGGATTCATTCATTAAGAATCCTGAATTTTGGGTTCGACCAATTCAAATTGTCTTAACACGATTGCTACATGTTACTTTAACAACACTTCATCAATATCTCGGTTTAAGCATCGAATTAGTGAAAAAGGTCAATTCAATAATTTCTTTTCTATTTTTTTTTTCCTATGCTAATCCAATTAATTTGTTTAAAAAGCATTTATTTCTAAATTGTGCAAAACATTTTCATTTATTAATTATTTTGTCCATTTAATATAGTCAGAAATATTTCACGTCGTTTAACTCATTTCAGCGTCCTGATGAAAAGCGTAATATGGATGAGCGTCATCGACATCTATCTGGAATTACTTCCTCAAATCGTCTGCAAGGCAAAATACGATCACGTACTCATCGTCTAAATAGCATTGATGGTACATTATTATTATTTTCATTTAGAATTTTATTTTAATTTTCAATTTTTTTCAAGTACATTAATATAGATTCTGCATATCAGTTACAAGATTCATTTTCCTTTGAAGATTCGAAGGAATATTTGGCGACAGCACAGCGATGGTTTGCTGAAGTACTTCATCTAGGTGTTAGTCCTGAAGCGATAGCACTTTTGGCAGGTCGTGTAACCATTGAAAATGTCCCCGAGAAACATCTTATTGTAGAGCAAAATTCTGAAGATGAATTATTAATTATGGTTCTCAGTGGTTTTCTAAGTATTTCACAGGTTTTTTTTTTTTATGTTTATTTTTTTTAAACAACTCAAATATGCAAATTTAGCATGTTTTGTGCTTTTATATATATATATATACATGTTTTGTGCTTTTTTTATATATTAAAACTTATAATCAATTTAAGTTTAATTTCTCTGAAGTTAACTGTTGGTTATTGGATAAAATGATTTTGAATAGTACTGAAATGGTTGGAAGTGAAATCAATATTTCAACCATTTCATAACTCTTAGAAAAAATTTGATTTGAGGAACCAATTGATGGAGAAGATGAGAATATAGATGAAGAGCAGTTTTTCATATATCCACGCGAACTTATCGGCGGATTACAATTACTTACCGGTGAACCATGGTTTGTTACCGTTCGATCTCATACGTGTGCAATATACGCAACTATTTCGAAAAAAGATTTCTTCGAGTTAGTTTCTGTCCTACTCTTTTAGCTTTACAAAAATAATATCTAAAAAGGTAGTTGATTTTAATTTTATCAAATCATTTTTAATTTGACTTTCTTCACTATTTCATTTTTCAAAAAAATCATTAAGAAATTAAACAACGAATCGACGAAGTAATGACATTGTCGCTTAGTTTTTTTGCTAGTAATTGCTTTTTTTTTTTTTCTATAATTAATATTAAGATTGGTTGATATCCATCCGGAAATTGTATTGCCAGTCGCACATTCAGTTATTCGACGACTAAGTTCTTTCGTTCGACATGTAGATTTTGCAGTTGATTGGGTCCTGCTTGATTCCGGACAGGCTGTTTACAGGTGATTACTCTTTTCAGAACTTAATATTATTAAAAGAAATAGTTCAAAAGTAATCAATTGGTTGCATCAGAATCAATCTCTTTTAGAAGTGGTGATGTAGCTGACTCAATATTCGTCCTTTTAAGTGGACGACTTCGATCTGTAGAAAACAAAAAAGTAATCGAAGAGTTTGGACGAGGTGATGTTTTGGGAATGATTGAGGTAATATGTTCATCATTATTTTAGCATGCTTATTTCTGTTTAGGTCATATGTACTCTTATAAAACTTTTATTTACCTGTTTATTGCTTTGATAACCCTAGAATCTTTCTATAGCTATTTTCTTATCATATTACATTGATTAAAAAGTATTTGCCTGGATTTTTGCATCATTGAACCTTACTGTTTTATATTGGGGAAATATTTTGAAATTAATTTAATTTATAGTTACCCCTTGTGTTATTTTTATACTTTGGACTAAAGAAATGATGAATGATGATGATAAACAAAAAGCAAAATGGAGTCAGTTCATTTATTTATTTTATTTTTTTTTGTATCTAAAATTGGTTTGTGAAATAACAAATGCAATTTGCAATATTAATGCATTAGCTCAAGAACTGCAAAAATACATGCATGCAGGGCTATAATAATTTAAGAAGTTCGGTAAAGCGAATATCTTTAAAATAAAAAGAAGTTGGGATATTACTGAAACAGTTCTTTTTTTTTTTTCAACTGCATATGAAAATGTTGAAGAACTTCGATTCATACTACCTATGTATCGTCAGTATTTCAAGCAAATTAAAAAGATGGCAGAGCTTGACAAATAAATATCTCATAAGCTAATCAATCAATAAACAAAAAAAAGATGCTATTTTGAATTATCATAGTTATAATATGCTGCAAAAAGTGGAAAGGTCCATCTTAGTGATTAGACATTAGTGGCAAAAATTTTTCAAAATGCTTTCTGAAGTCGAGCTTTCACGAAAAAAAAAAAAAAAGAAAAAAAATTATAAATCTGAAAAGGATACTAAACAAATAAATGAGATTAAATAAAGTAGCTTACATTAATCAACAGAAAAAAAACTCAATTTCCATTATACCTCAAATACACTTAAAAAAAATCAACACTTGAAAAATTGAATGCACTAAGTTGTGCGTTTTTACTATCTATCTATTTGATGTTTTGCCGAAAATACTTTACAAAATTTTCTAAATGCGAATTTCAAATTACAATTAAATTTAAGCATAATTAAGATAGTAATGTATAAATTATAACAATTAACATATTTTTATCAACGAGAAATAAATTCGTTTCTTCTTGTAGCACAGAAATTTATGTTTCGCAGTTCAATTTTCATTTTTTCAACAGTTTATGAAATCTGGAATTGTACTTTTTTGTGTTATAAGAATAGAAAATTTATTTCTGGCTAACAAAAATAATATCCGTTTCAGATTAGTTATATCTGTACCCTATTATTGAAAAACTTGATTACTTTGTTCCAGCATATTATCTATACTGAAATGTAAAACGAAACTTAGAATTCTTAAAAAATTGCACTCTTCATCATCAAGCAATATTTTGCATCACTGTTGACTGTTACGATTTTCCGAAATCTTTTTCAAATATTGCAAGTTTTTAAGGTTTTTTTTTTTTTTTTCAAGTTTCTTTATTTTCCAGGTTCTGCAGCGAGTACCGCGAGCCACCACTGTCCTTGCAATTCGTTTTTCACAATTAGCACGACTTCCTGAAGGCCTTTTGAATTTTATTAAAATAAAGTTCCCACAGGTGATTATTCTAATTTTTCTGTATTCTATATTAGTAGTGCATAAACTAGATTAAATTTGATTAAATTCATTATTATAGGTTGGATTTCGTCTTGTCCATTTGCTGGGTCAGTATTATACTTCATCGATACAAAGTACATCTACATTTAGATGCGGGTACAAGGATGGCCTTTCAATGACAACAGGCGACCCACAGAGTCATATTAAAGTAAGCATATAACTTCTGGAACTTTGAATCAATGATTTACTTCAGTCTTTCAAGTTGGATCATTGCTTGCAAGTAATAGCATGCAAAGTTTTGAATGATAAGACATAACTTAAAATAGGTGCTGACATTACGGGCTCATGTATCTAAAAGTTTTACTTTACTGGTGAATTTATAAGTGAAGGCTTAAGATTTGAAACCTTTGCAGAATTTGCATACTATTGCTGTGGTAGCTGCAACACCCGACGTGCCATTAACTGCATTTACTTGTGAGTTATATCACGCCCTTACAGCAAATTTGCGAGTTCTGCGATTGAGCAGTCAGAAAATAGCCGAACTACTGGATGTTAGTGTGCTAGAAAAGTAAGCTATGATTTGGAATGTTATATTGAGCGAAGAACTAAACTTAGTACTGATATTTGATATGAGACTACTGATAAAATAGACCATTTGTGATAATTATTGATAGAACAGACCATTTGTGATAATTATTGATAGAACAGACCATTTTCAGATAATCGATTTTTTTTTTTTTGTTCGTTCGATATATTTCCATGTTTTTCCAAATTGCATTTTTCTATACTTAAATTTATATGTAAAAAGTGATGCAAATTCTTATTTAGGATTTTAACGGATCAAACCTACGACGGGTAATTTTAATATTTTCGTTTTATTTTTTTCTGTACTGCAAATCTACTTAGATGAATTAAAGTTAGAAAAAAAATTGAAGTTCATGTCCGGTTCACAAATCTATTCCTATCGTAACTAAATGCCACTAAATGTCGAGATAATTCTGGCGCTTTTATTCCTTTTTTCCGCTTTCATGCTTTTCTACTTTTCCGGAACAGTGGTTTCAATTCATCCTAGAACTGCCAAATTGTATTTTTGTAAATGCTGATAGAATTAATTAAGATTGTATAAATTTTTTTCCTATTTTCTTCAAAAAGATTGAAACTTACAGAGTGATGCATCACATTTGTGGACTTGTAGTCGTTTTTATTTAATCCACTAATTATTAATTTTTTAAATAAATTGGTTTTTTCAATTGCATGCACTTTCTTTTTTCTTTCTGATGTGGTGATTTTATTTGGGGATTTTTTTTTTCTTTGAGTACAGCATGAAGCAATTTGTTCAAATTTAAACATTCATCAAATAAGTTGAAAATTCTTGATGTGTGTTGTGTAAACAATTAAAGTCATATAGGAAAATACTTCGCATATTGAGCTAGTGTTACATACTGTAAAATGATCTGATATAATAACTTTAGTCTTGTGTTGCCATCACTTAATCCCAGGTATCTTTTTTATTATAAATTTTTGGATTAGCACATAAGATAGTCTAGATGTTTTATTTTTAGAAATGCATCCATCATAAGATAGTTTAGAAGTTTTATTTTCAAGAATGCATCCATTGATTAAATAGAGTTTTCATTTTTAGTATTAATTTATTGATGAAATAATTTTATTACAGGCAAGCAGATTTTCGCCTTATGCATTGGCTTAATTTGCAAGAAGATACCTATCCGTTAATTATCTATGAATGTGACACAAGCGCTACAAGCTGGACACGACGTTGTCTTCGTCAAGCAGATGCAATATTATTCGTTGCTAATGGTGAACAGAAACCATTTCAACAATCATTGGTTAGTTGTTGGTTTAACTTTTGTCCATGTAGAAATTTCAAGAAAGCAGTTTTAAGATTATTCTAAATTCATCACTCATTTATTATTTGAGATAATTCTAAATAATCTTATTGGAGGATGAATATGAATTAGTATTTCAGATGGATGATTATTTGAATATGAATGAAGATGGTATTCGAACAAACAAGGAATTGATCCTTCTCTGGGATGAAAAAACTGTAGAACCACAAGGAACTATTGAATGGTTGAAAGGGAGTTGGTTTTCGGGTCATCATCATATCCGCATTCATAAACGGATGGTACAGTGGGATTTGAAGAAGGTCAGATTTAATTTCAGAACGTACAAATTAAATATGAAAGTGAAAGCAATAGCAAATAGCAAGATTATATAGTTGCACTTACTATCATTATGTTTGTTGAACTTTCATTTTCGCATCTTTCAGGTATCTGAATCCGACATTGTATCCTTTTATGAGCAAAACATTTATGGTGGAAAGGTTGACAGTGGGTCAGATTTTTCAAGACTAGCTCGAATACTGACTGGAAATGCAATTGGTGTTGTGCTCGGTGGAGGTGGTGCAAGGTTACCTTTTTTGTAATTAGAATATATGTTAACAACAAATAATATAATTTCATTTTCGACTAAAAAAAAAGATATGTATTTTTTCTAAAATTTTGAACTTAATTAAATAATAAGCGAAAATTTTTGTTATCTTCAGAGGTGCATCTCATGTTGGTGTTCTGCGTGCAATACAGGAACACGGTATTCCAATTGATATGATAGGAGGAACATCTATTGGATCTATGATCGGTGGCTTATACGCTCAAGAGGTTGAAGATTTAGAACAGAGAGCAAAAAGTTGGTTCATGGTTAGTTACATTCATTTCAAAGAAAAAAAAAACTAAATATCATTGAAAAATCCATTTTTATGTAGCACATATGTAATATTATTTATTGTTAACAGATTAGTTAAGCAAACAATTGCATACACAAATATGCAATGTAAATTTAGAATGATTATTTACTCTGTTGCAACAACATTTTTTTTTTTTTTTCAATATTCGTTCTATTATTAGACCAGTTTAATATTTTATTGATTTACATATAATTTGAATTAAATTATATTTATTTATGCATGGATTAAAGTTTCATGTGAAATTTACTGCTTCAATTTTATCATTCTTAATATTGAAATATTTGACTTATCTTCAATTATAGTACAATGAAATTGTTTCAGTTTTATATGTTTGAGACAAATAAAAATGTTATGTCTCAAGAAAATTTTATCGGAAAATTGCTGCAACACTATTAATTTACAGATGATGGCTTCTATTTGGCCAAAAATATGGGATTTAACATATGCCCATTCGGCGATGTTTACTGGTGCTGGTTTTAATCATGGTCTTCAGGATTTATTCTCGGATTCATTAATTGAAGATTTGTGGATACCTTATTTTTGCATAAGCACTGACATAAGGTTAATAAAATTTTGTAACACTGTCAATAATTCCTATTTGATAACCCAATTTCAACTTTTAGAATCCTAAAATTTAACTTATTGCTTTTAGTAATTCGGAAATGCGGATACATCGAACTGGTCCATTATGGGCTTATTGTCGAGCATCAATGTCTTTGGCAGGTTATCTTCCTCCATTGTGTGATCCAATAGATGGTCATTTGTTGTTAGATGGTGGTTATGTCAACAATTTACCAGCAGATGTTATGCAGTATGTCCAATTTTTAATTAAATGGAATTTAAATGTGTCTCTGATTAATAAAGTAAATAAGAGAAGTATATAAAATGCTAGAAATCTTTAAAAAATTGACCAAACAAAAGTTTTTAACATGATTATTGCTAATGTATGGAGTAAAATGATTGAGTTGTCCTTTAAGTTGTGAGAAAAGAACTTATTTCCTTTCTTTAAGCAATCTTAAAAATTGGATACTTTGTATATTTACTTTTGTTCAAAAGTAAATTTCCAATAAAAAAAAAAGTGAAATGAAAACGAAATGAAAAAAATTCAGACAATTTCTTATCACTATAATTAAATGCACCACATTTTTCATATACCATCATGACAAGATTAAATCAATTTATAGAGTGCATTTCAAAACTAAAAAGGAAAGAGAAAATGAAATGTAAAATATATTAAGAATTTTGCTGCCGTAAAAAATTACAGAATATGAAAGTTTCAATCGGAAAATATTATCTGCTCGGTGGGAATAAGCTCCAAAATACTTATAATAAATAAATTTTTAGATTTCCAAAACTTTTTGCTAGGTTTTTTTTAATAATTGAATTCAGATCTATGGGTGCTAAGATAGTAATCGCGGTAGATGTTGGTTCTGCTGCCGAAACGAATTTATACAACTACGGTGATTCATTGAGTGGATTTTGGGTATTGCTGAAAAAGTTAAATCCATTTGCTGAACCAATCAAAGTTTTGAATATGGAAGAAATACAAGTACTGCTTAGTCGCTTCCAAATTTCATATTTATTAGTGTTTTTTTTTGAATGTTTTTTGTTATAAGTTCAGTACTATTTGATTACCATACTTCTTATATGGATTTAATTTTCAAAAAGAGAACTTTTTTGAACTAAAAAAATAAAAATTATGTTATTTCTTTAAATGATATTTTAGCATATCACATTTGTCCTTAAATAACAAAAGTTCAAATCATTAAGAGTCGTCTGGCGTATGTCTCTTGTATGCAACAGCTACAGTCAGTGAAGAATGCAGGATATTGTCAGTATGTACGACCACCTATCGAAGAATTTAAAACCTTAGATTTTTATAGATACGATGAAATACGAGTAAGTCCTTCTCTTTGCATAACTATTATTTCGAGTTTTGAGTTTGAGTTTTTGAAGTAATTTGACTTTATTATTATTATCAATATTATTATCATTAATTAGTATTTTATTATTATTGATTATTATTGTTGTTGTTGCTACTACTATTATCACTGTATTATTAAATTGTTATTACTATATTATTTAAGTTAAGGAAGTCTTAGTGATTCGGTAAAATTTTGTAGGATCTCGGCTATAAACATGGCGTAAAGCAGTTCGGAGAATTAGTGAAGACAAATGAAGATTTGAAAAATGTTATCGATGCTGAGAAATTGCGTTCACTGAAACGACGTTATTGGCGTCGGGAACCTTCAAAATTAGCTATGTATGATCGTGGCCGTGCTTCATCATTCACTAATCTTGCCGCTCAGGTCTAGAAACTTTAAATTTTTCTAAAATTGATATTTTTTTCTTCGATTTGTAACAGTGAAGGTTAGTTTTTTTTGATTCATTTTCTATGTGATATAAAATGACAATTCTTCAGGTGTCAAGAGTTCCAAAAGTACGCGAAAAGAATAGCTTAAATGATGATGAAGTTGCGGAAGATGAACTATCTGATGTTTGGTGGGATGAGGAGGAGGAAGAGCAAGAACCAGATGTGCACTCACAACCAGCCTATAATTCTGAGGATGTTGAATCTATTGAGGCAGGTTACATCAGTGAACCCTGCACTACTTATCAGAGTAAATACACATTCAGTAGTGAAGATGAAGTAAGCACTGATAAAAATGACACTGATAATAATCGAAAACGAAAGACCACTTTATCTGAAGTGAATCAAAATGGTGAAGAGAAGATTGAAATGCAAAAGGTGCCATCAGAAAAAGGACCTACGGTACGATTTGGATTGTCAAAATCACTATCTGATGATAAGTTGCAAGAAAGTCAAGATATGGTGCTTAATTCTGATCGATCTGAAACGAAAATTGATAATAATGCAATGCAATAAACCAGTAAATTTTTCATTTCTTCTATTGTAACTAATTTTTTTTTTTCTTTTCCTATGGAACAAAATGTTGTTGCTTTAATATCAAAAATGCCATTTGAAGTTTTAACTTCATTTATCATATCTTTAGTTTAATTTTTTTTTTCTTTATAATTTAACATCTTCCACAATAATTCATTTTATTAATGATTTTGCACTTTCTTCCAAAATTTAATATTTCTTTTTTAAAATTTTCTCTTCTTTTATTATATTTTGTTATTTATTTACTATTTTTGATAATATTTGCTTATGTAAATTTTACATTCCTAGTAAGATAGAGTTTTTTCTGTTAGCTGTTGCATATTTTTAGGTACTAATAAGATGAAAAGCATATTTTTTCAGTTCTGTAGCTCATAGTAGAACATTACTAAAAATTTTATTCGTTTGCTTATATTTTTAATTCGTCAGGTTCTTCCAACTGCTAATCAGTACAAAAATCAATGAACGCCGAATATGATCAGATGAATCTTGATGAAAATTTGATGCTTCTTCTTCTTCTGGATGGATGGATGGATTTTTTTACTTGAAATGAAATCAGTGTATTTCATGGATATTGTTATTATCATCTTATTTATTGTACAAATACACTCCATCCTTTTTTTTTATTCATTATTCTTAGAAATGATTCACATCTTAATTTATTTGCCATTTTAAATTTTGTTTTATTCATTCAAAAATCTATTTTATCATTTAAAAATCAATTTTTTAGTTTGTAACCCTTTTTTTTCTATGTTTTTGAAAACTGATATAGAAAAAAAAAAACGAAACAAATGAAAATTGATTCATTTAACTGAAACTGAAAAATGATATTATTTATTGCGATATAAAATTTTGCAGTAAATATAAAATAGCAATACGGTGCAAAATCACTTTTGAGAGTGAGTATAGGTTTAAATGTATTAAACACTTTATCATTTATCTTTCTAGGAAATAGCATATGTTAATTGTAAAGCAATGAATTTAGCCTATCGTTCTGATATATACTTTATAAGTTAATTCATCAATTGGATTAGTTGAGATAATTTGTGAGCACTTTTCCAAATAGTTTATCATTGATATGAATTAAAACAGATTCATCAAAATCTAAAATAAAAAAAGAAATTTTTTTTTTTAGAAGTTCCAATTTACTATAAAAACAGTTTTCCGATTTATATTTGGACAAAACATAGCTAATTCGAGTTTCTATTTATTGCTAGTTTTAATTGTAACAATGGATTTTTTGCTGATATAATATGGTTCAACTTTATGATCTTAGCAAATTATTTATTTCCACTTTTTCTTTTTTTGTTCTTGTTTTATTTTATTACCTTGCAAAACAATCTTACTAGATCTCTAAACATATACATATATTATTTATGTTTTATTACATATCCGATAACAAATTGTATAATTAAATTAAATTCAAGGTAAGCCTTGTTTGCAGCTATTTTAAAATTATATTTCAAATATTTGCATAAAATTTCAATGGTCAACTTTATAGCATATTCTATCCCTTGAAACATTGTGTTTTTTCTTTTTTTTTTTTTTAATTTAGCAAATTTTATTAGCTCTTATATTTGTTTATTTATGTTTATGAATAAGATTATATCTTCCTTATTTGAATCTTATAACTTGTCTAAAGTACGGGTAGTAATATAGTGTTGAATTAATGAATGTTGTTAACATTTTTATTTATTGACATTTAATGAAAGAAAATAAAATAACTACTCTACTCTACATGCTATGCTACTATTTACATTATGCATCATTAAAATTTCACATCCTATTTAATAATGAAAGATAATATTTTAGCAAAATTACTTTAATGAAATATGATTAAATTATTTTACTAAAATCATTGAAATAAGATAGCATAAATGTTGTATTAAAATCTCTAATCTTTTCTTTTTTTTTTTTTTGTTTTCAGTATAATAATTGATATTGTTATCAAAATGAAGAAAAAAAATTATCAAATTAAATTTTTAATTTTTGGATAAATGATTAAATGATAAAGAAATTAGTGATTGCTAGTTAAATCATACATTCGAAATGAATTTTTTAAAATATTCCAAAAAAAAAATTCTTTTTTTTGCTTCTCTTTCTTTGCATTCCTCTCAATCATTTGTATAATTTTTGATTTTCATGAGAAATTTCCATTTTAAATTTCCAGAACATTTTTCAAATTGATTTTATTACAATGAAATCAATTTGATGAAATATTTGAAGCGAACTAAAATTAAATTTACTTTGATAAATTACCGTAATCTTTTCCTCCTATATTAAATAATTTAATAGCAATAAAAATTAGTCAGTCATTGATAAGTGTGGCAAGAAATTTACTTACCATTTAAATATTTACTATTTTATTGAAATGAAAAAAAATTAAAAAATAAAAAAAGATTGCATATTCATAAGTTTTACATTTGAAATGCTATTAGTTCTTTCTTTCCTTTTTTTTTTTTTATTTCGCATGAGAGAGCAATTTTACACTTTTTATTCATTTATTTTTGTTCATTTATTCATTTTATTTATTTATTTAGTCCTTTTATTTATTTATTTATTTATTTATTAAGTCCTTTTATTTATTTATTTGTTTATTCAGTCCTTTTATTTATTTATTTATTTGTTTATTTATTTATTTAGTCCTTTTATTTATTTGTTTATTTATTTATTTAGTCCTTTTATTTATTTATTTATTTGTCTGTCTGTTGCTATTTGCTTATTCGTTTGCCTTTTTAATTAATTAAAAAAATAAAAAGAAAAGAAAGAAAAAGATTGATCAAAAAATTTCATTGCAAATGAATACAAATAATGATGAAAAACAAATTTAAATGAAATTTCTTTTAAAAATGATTTCGTTTTTTTTTTTTTTTCTCGAACAAATAAAATACTTTTTGCTTTCTTATTAAGAATTTTTTTTTTTGTTAAATTTATTTGCGTCATTATTGCTATCAATTCAATCGCGGAGAACGATGGAAATATAAAGGTAAGGTTAAAATATCATCGCTTTTAAATATTTCATTTATGATTTATTTTTAACTACTTATAATCAATCTATTTTTTAAACATTTCATTTATAATTTTTTTTTTTAAATTATTTCATTTACAATCTATTTTTAAACATTTCATTTTATAATTGTTTTTTTTTTGAATATTTCATTTATGACTTATTTTTAATTATTTCATTTACAATTTATTTTTAACTTTTTTAATTTATGATCTATTAAGATTTGCTTATTTCTTAAAAGAAAAAAAAAAATATATTTGTGTTCGTAAATAAATTTTGTTAAGCAATGGATGATAATAAATCATTTCTCCTAGGCTATCATCAATGTCGTTGCTAGGCTATTTCATTACTTATATTTATTGCTAGCCATATAATCATGGCTATTCGACGACTGTTATTACGTACGTACGTACGTACGTGTGCAGTAAAATGTTATTACTTATTAATAATTTAGTGTATTGATTTTTTTTTTTAGTCTGAATAAAAGTTAATTTGATAATTACCATATAGATTAAATAAAGTATTATTAATAATGCAAACATTTTCATAAACTTTTTTTTTTCAAATTCATTTAATTTCATTAATTAATTTAAATTTGACTAAAATTGTGATTTTTGCAATCAATTGATTATTTTTTATAATGTTTTGTTAATTTTATCTTCTAATTTCTAAATGTTATTGTGTTTTCGATCTAAATTTCAAAAATTTTCAAAATTAATTTAAAAATTGCTCGAAATTTAACATTTACAGTTTAATTAATTCATTGCGTAAATTTAAATATTCCAAATTATACTAAAATTTTCCTTAGATAATTTATATACTTTTACCTGAAATTCAAACCTTTGCTTTTTCTATGAAAATCTGCATAAAATTAATATTTCATTATTATTAATTTTGTAACAAAACGATAAATAAAAATTAAAGGCAAAAAAAAAAAGAGTAAACATGAATAGTATTCATTTTAATATATAATAAGAAATTAATTAAAACAAAATTTGATTCATTTCTAGGGTAAAAACGAAAATAAAATTGAAAGATATAACTTTTTTAAAAAAAAAAAAAAAATGAGCAATAATTTTAGAATTAATTTAAAATATTCAAAAGAATAATTTTAGAATTAATTTAAAATGTTCAAAGTTCTTTTCTATTCGCTTTTTTTTTTCTTTGCTGTAATCATTAAATGAATGACAAAAGTGATAAAATTTACTGTTTATTTGTTTGTTTTTGTTTTTAACAGATTTGAATTATAAATTTGTAAATGAATTTGATAAATTAAAATTTTAAATCATTTTTTTTTCTCTTTTTCTTTCCTTCATTTTCTTTCTTTCTTTTTTTTCATTCCTTTTTGCTTGAATAAAATAGCTTAAACAAATTGAATGCAAAATGCAAAATATAATAATTTTTATTTCCTAAATATTCTGCGCTTTTACTAAATTCAATTGCTAAATTTCATTTTAATCATTTCATCCACTCTTCGTTATATTCTATTCATTTCAGTAAAAAAAAAAAAAATGGGAAAAAAGGAAAAAAAAAAGTGAAATGGCTAAAAATTATTTTAAAATTAAAAAATAAGTTTGATTCAGGCAAATGAAAAAGAAAAGAAGAAATGAATATAAAAAAGTTAAAAATTAAATTAAGCAGAAAAAAAAAAGAATGATATTTAATAGATATTTCAGAATTTTGAATAATTTTATGATTGTTGCAAAATGAAAAAAAAAAAAACTTAAAAAAAGTTAAAAAGTTATTATCAATTGAAATTTGATAATTTGTTTTTATTTTTCTTTTTTACCAATTAAAAAAAAAAAAACCAAAATAATATATTTATAATTATCAAATAATATTACATAATTAATAAATTTTCTCATTTTTTGTTAAATAATTTTAATTGAAATATTCTTATTATTGCGGTAAATATCGTATTGAAATTCAATAATTACCTAAATAAAAAGAAGTGAAAATTTTGATTAAATAAATTTTA